CCGAGCTGAGTATGTGACTGGTCCAAACGGCAGGCCATTCACAGCAATCAGAATCACCAGGAAATTGTTAAGCACAGAAACTCTCTCACTGCACACCAAAATAAGAATTTCCCTAATGGGATGAACACAGAAAACCATGCCCAAGAAATCAGACGTCTCTCACTGGTTCTCATCGGATGTCTCATCGCACTGGTCCTTATCACATCCCAGGAAGACTGAGAGGTTCATTAATATGTTAGGTCCCTCCATCAGATTACTGAAAGCGCGAGCTTGTTTCTCCACCCAACCTTAAAGCCTTTTCTGTATTTACCATGATCTAAACTGAGCAATCACTTCTGCTTCTTACAAAGTACCTCAAGCACTCGAGGAAAGGAGATTCTCCTCTCAACGCTAACCGAATTATTCTCGCCACTGAGCTGCAGAGCATTCCGAGAAGAAAGTGTCTTGTTAGCTGCAACACGACGCATCTTAATATTGTCCAAACAAACGTTCCAACACTTTGCTCCGTTCTCGCACTGTAAATAACTGAAGCGACAAGTCTTCCTCTGCATCTCCTCTCCAGTCGTAGGCATGCAAGATGTGACTTAACTCCAAAGGCATGCTGCAGCCCCAGTGTAACCCACAGCGACTCACCGCGCTGAGGGCAAGACGCGGTGCACAGAGTGGGTGACCCCGTTTCACCCTCCCCGCACCCTCATATGACCTGTCCACACCCTAACTTGTCTAGGCACTCCGATCTCTGAAGGCCAGGGTCGCACGCAGTGCTGTGCAGCCCGGGTCAGATCCTGGATGGGTGAACGGAGCACTCCCAACACAGCGTTTCCTCAGTGGTCCTGTTGAAGACAAGGAAGATTCTTGCCACTGGGGCGCTGTTATTGTGAGGACTGAGAGGAGGATGAGGAGGAGAGTTGTGTGAGCCGCCTGGAGTCCCTTGAAGGTAGCATACAAATATAAATAAATAAATGTTTGGTCAGTCTCCCAGTCCCCTCCTGGGCCAGAACATTAGTGCTCCAACAGTACGAGCCAAGCATTAAGCTCAGCTTTGAAGGTCACTTTGCATTTTAATTTATTTATTTATTTATTTATTTATTTGGATGGGTAGTCTGCCTTTCATAATACATGTCCCAGAGTGGCTCACAATGTTTTTAAAAATGGACATAAAGCCAGAACAAAGCCAGTGCAAACTAGTGAAAGGGGGAAAACGCCAGAGTGAGCAGCACAGGGTGGACTGCGCCCACGAAGAGCAGCTGCAGGCAAAGGAGAGGCGTCCCAGCGATGGGCACCTGCCAGCGGAGAGATCTGCTGGTGCCATTTGACACGGAGCGCCTCTTCTGCACGGATTCCTAGCCCATGGCTTCCCCATCAGGTCTTGCGGCATTTGGATCTCCCCAGCTGCCAACCCCACAGGCACCTGAGTAACCGCAGCTGCGCAGTGGGGAGGGAGGGAGGGAGGGAGGGAGGGAGGGAGGGAAGGAAGGAAGGAAGGAAGGAAGGAAGGAAGGAAGGAGACGGGGCAGGCTCAGGAAATGCCGGGCCCTGCTCCAGCTGTGTTCCCTGCATCTGGAGAGAGGAGAGGAAGAGCACTATTCCATCAGCCCTGCTGACAGCCTACTTGTTTTTTTTCCTCTCCCATCCACAACCCCTTTTCCTCACGTGAGCTGGTAAGCAGGCCTTTCTGCTGACTGGGGGATAAGCTGTTCTGGGAGTCAGTTCTGGTTGAGAGGAAATACAAAACGCCTTCAGTAAATAGGACAGTCTCAACAGCCACAGTGACACTGGGAAAAAGGAAGAAGGCGTCCGCAAAGACACAGATCCCGCTGTGCAGCCACAGCTTACAGAATAGACAGCAAGTGCCTAAGGGTCTTAATTGGAGCATTGCTGTTCTCGGCCTGGCCCCGTTTTTCACCTCCACAGTCAGTCTTTCTTGGGTTCATTTCACCTGCACTCCATTTTTCGTTCTGGGATTTCTGCTGAACTTCTCATCCTGGAACTATTAAATAAGCGTTTGGTCCTTATACCTGCTAAGCCCCCTGCCCTAGAGCTGGTCTTGTTCTACTGCTCCAAATCCATTTCAGGGCACCTGCAAAAGAGGTAGTCATACCCTGTGTTTAAGGAATACTAATGCTGCGGGTCTCCTGGGTCTCTTCCAACAGAAGTCCTGATCTGTTATCTATGATTTATTGCCCTGATAGTTTATCCTTTTGTTTTGTTTCTGCATTTGGCAGCATTTCCCAATCAAGCTGCCATTACGCACTCCCCTTAACACAGGTGAAACAAAATTAACAGCCTCTGCTTTACCGCAGCAGCGGATAAAAGGGAAAATGATGTTTCGGAGGTATATTAGAGCCCTCTTGAAGGAACTGTGCTGGCTGCCAATATGGCACCAAACTTGATTAAAGGTTTTGTTATTAGTATAATGAGCGCTAAACTCGGGAGGCGTTGCTCCGGGAGCACCTTCTCCCAGACTGTCTTGCCTTCTTCCTGAGATCAATGGGCAAAACCTGCTTACTGCTGCCTCGGCTTCCCAGAAGAGGCCTTTCCTCATGAGGCCACATATTCTGTGGAACAGCTTCCCAAGGCAGAAGGTGAGAGTCAACAATATTGCTTGTAAAAGTATGTTTCAGCAGATACTTCCTCACCTGCAATATCATCAACATACACTAATGCCAGATTGGGGACTGTACTCGTTATGGACCGTTCTTGCTTTCAGCGTTGTGATTTCTCTGGAGAGTATTTTACTGCATGCTACCTTTGAACCGAAGTAGTTTCTCAACAAACTGTGGCAGATACTTCAAGCATGAGACTTGGGGAATCCTGATCAAACCCCAGATGCAACTACAACAACCGATCACATTCTGCCAAAATGCGGGATCATCACCAAGGATGGGGCCCAGATGGCCTCACAAGCAGAGGGCCAACCCACAAGTACCGGCTATTATTTGCCACAGGGCCAAGCAGGCCACTCGCCACCATCAGCTGCAGCCGCTTTTGCACAGAAGGGAAAGGGAGAGAAAATGTCAATGTCAAACAACATTCAGTTTCCCTTTATATCCAAACTCAGGAAGTTAGTAAACCATGATCTGAATCCATGGTTGCATCTTATTTGTTTAAACTAACTACAGTTAGCATAATCCACAGAATAGTAACAGGAAAAAGATCTTTCTGCACCTCATATGCTGTTGCCTGGAAGCCTAGTTATCTCCCTTAGTTCTTTCCATTCAAGCTGTTGAGCTCATTCTTCTTATGTGAGCTTCCGCTCTGGCGTTGGTGTGAGAAGTAGGATTTGAATCCATGACTCTATACCGTGGGTCCTCAAACGACGGCCCCAGGCCGTATCTGGCCCACCGTGCCCATTTATCCGGCCCGCCACAGAGGTTTTGGAGGCGGTGGCTTGCTTGTGTGGAGTTCATCTTGGACTCGCTCAGAGAAAAGGTTCTCCTTGCAAGCAAGCTGGCACCTTGCTGTGCGTGCACTCAGTGGCGGCTTGCTCGCAAGGAGATCGTTTCGGACTCACTCGGAGAAAATGATCTCTGCGCATGCTGGCCCCTGCCTCGCCAAGCGCATGCCCCCTGCCCTGGCCTGCGCCCCCCGCCCGCACCGCCTTGGTGGCCCATGCCCATCGCCGGCACCTTTCAACTGGCCCCCTGTTGAAAAAGTTTGAGGACCTCTGCTCTATACAAAGACCTGCTTGTTTGCTTAGGCTCTGAGAATTCACAACCAAACATAAAAGCTTTAAATGTCTTTTTCATGCAAATGGTGGGGCCTGAGGGGATGGATGCGCAAAGCCAAACCTCACTATAGACTATTTTAGTAAGGGAAAACCTTTGCTCCTGAATCAGGTCACAAGCCTGTTCATGTTGAAGAAGGCACCTTGCTGAAGCTGCAGACACAGTTTGGGTAACTACCTGATTTATCAAATTTTATTTGAATTGGCTTTTTCCTTTCCCTTTCCTTTTTTGTTATGAAAGTGACTGGGTGTGTCCCCTACTAGGTAGGACACACAATTATCTTCCAACTTATATCAGTCTAATGCCTCTGGAGTAGGTGATGGCCACATAAAATGACATCATTTCATGGCTGCAATTTTGTAGTTCTCCAAGTTTCCTAACAGAACCCACAGAAAACCATAGCGCTCAGTGTTGGGGGCCGGGGGAGTAAAAACTAGAAGCCTGCAGTGTAGATTAGCTCTCAGTTGATCTATATATTATGGGAGCTGCTAACTCCTGAGTTTAAACACCTTGACACCAGCTTTTCCAAAACTCAGTTGTGGAATAAATCAGGTGTGAATCTTAATCGCCGTGTCATTTCCGAGCCTTTGACATTGCCGACTCTCCAGCAAACTTACAAGTAGCATTTCTGGGGGAGGGAAGGACCTGCAATTTGCTAGATATTTATGCCTTCATCAAATATGGTTTGACGAACCAGAGGGCATGTGCTCCACACCCGATCCCTCTGGAATGGTGCCTCTCATAAGCCAGAGCTTGTACTGTGATGTGGGAATTAGCTGCCAGCATGGGAAGGAAAAGGGTTCCCCTTTCCTACTGGGAAATGCTCACCTTCACCGGGGCCATTCTTTGGTTACCCCTTAACAAAAGCACTAATTGCTGCAACCAAGCAAGAAACTTCAGCCTCTCCGAGCCCGCCAAGTGCCCAGTGGCACGACACTTGTGGCAAGGAAACCATCCCGCTTTTCACACCCATCACACCCATCGTATCTTTTGTTGCGACGCACTTAGCAGACAAGCTTGGTAACAGCAGATGCAGCATAATGTGGTTCTATGTTCAATGATGCACCGAAAACAAACCCACAGAATGTAGAGCAGGGAAAAAAAAGGAGGTTTCTGTTTCGGACAGTTCCAGTGATTAATTTCACATGAAGAGACTCCTTTGCACTAGACATCTCTGACAGTTTTAAGCAATTCTGATTCTGATTATGATAAACTGGAGTGAGGGAGAAGAGAAGGCGCAAGAAGAGAAATAGTTTGGAGAAAACAACTTACCTCTACCTTTCCAGAGGTGGAAGATAATTCATGGGGAAACAAAAAGTCAAACTCTTCAGTAATTCTCACACACTGAGCAAAGGAATAGTAGAATTTCGGTAAACAAGTACATCTATCTTCAATGGGCAGCTCTCCTCTTCAGGGGTCCCGCATCAATTATTGAATTCTGGATAAGAGAAAGGCGAGTGTCCGAATTAGTCCAGTGGCCCAAGACCCCCATTCTGGTTTAATCAGTACATCCGCTTACCAAGTCACACGGAAAGCTACAGAACCTGAGACGCTCCGAGCAGGCACCCATCGCCGGGATCTACTGGGCCCCCAGTCCTCACAGAGCGGGCACGGATGCTGCTCCGGCCCACGCCAGCCCTGGCCTGATCAACCGGGGCTCGGACTGACAGTCCCTGCGTTGGGCCTGCAGCTCGTTCCCTCCGTCTTTCCGGAGCAAACCCAGCTAAGAGTGACGCATACTTGCTGCGCTTTCCCTCAGAGGAACCCTTGGGAAGAAACGGTGGGCATGCTTTGATTCCAAGGTACTGCAGAAAAAGCGGCAGGTATGGTAATGGACCAAATTCAATTTCCGGTGAGTGTGCTTTCATTAAAAATAAGCTTCTAGGCCTCTGTGGCTGCAAAAGAGGTGCTCAGGCAAGGCTGCTGAAACCTCGCACGTTTGGAGCGCTGCTGCCTCCCGCGTGGGCCTGCCCGGCCCCTGCTTTCCGCCAGGGCCGCCCCGCTGCACCCCTCCCCGCTGGCGGAGCCGTGGCTCATGGGAGCACAGAAAAGGGCCTTCCCTGTGGCAGCACCAGGTACAGAAATTCCCTGCAGGGAGAGACTTGCCACACTCTTCCACTGGCGGCTTTCCTTTGCCAGTGCAAGCCCCTTGGTTCTGGTGAGCATTTGGCTGACCTCCTGGCTTATTTTATCAGCTTTTTGTGTTCTGCTCTGCTCTGCTGCTTTATTCTAATAATTGTTACGCGTATGGTTAATCTACTCTTTTTTAGAACTGCAAGCTGTTTTGAGCACTCCTTATTGGAATGGAAAGGTGGGGTAGATGCTGCTGCTGATGATGATGATAAACAAACAGTTCCCCAACCAGACCACTCAAGAAAGAAGCCAAAGACCACAACACCGAGGTAGACTGGCCTTTTGTGCTGCAGTTCTTTTGCAGCCATTCATCCGAGACAGATTCCTCCCAGAGAGATGGTCATCCCTCATCTCTCTCACCCCTATGACCAAAACCGCTTTTCCAAGGGCAGGACCAAGACAGATCATGCCAATCGGTTCCCTTTCTATCACTAGACCCCCAAAGTCAGATGCACATGCAAGAAACTGACTCGGCACATGACAAGAAGCAGCTAGGAATTCCAAGCGGCACAAGCCTAGACCTGTGAGGGTAGCGACTCAAAAGCCTCAAAAACCCAAGAGCTCGAGGTAACCCCCTCCCCCACCCCAGCAATTATGTTTGGAACATGCCCAGCGGACTGTTTCTGAACCGCGTGTTAAAGACTTCATCTCCTGGTGCGCACCCTAATTACAGTTAAAAGGCTGCGCTGCGCAACCAGACCCCGCAGCTGAGCTGTGCCTATGCAGCCCGAACACTCTCGCTGTCCTTTCCTCGTCTGATCAAACGGATACGTGCGCCAGAGCCTCGTTTTCTTCAGTTAATGGAGGAAGCGGTAACACAAACACCGGTCCGCGACAGCCAGGGCCTGCTTTTTCCCTTGCAGTGCCTTGTGAGTGTCGGGCGACCATGACTTCTTCAGCCCATGGCAAGGCTGCGGGATGTGCAGCGTGTCTGCAGCTGCCATTTTGAATATGCGATCCCCACTGAGAAGTGGCCACGCTGTGCAAAGCCAGCAAACGTAGCTTATACAACATGTAAATAACCCGTGCACTTACCGTGGTCTGATTCAGGGCTGTTCCACCCTTGGATAACCCACTACAAAGCGTGTTTTTCCGACTATAAGACACCCCCATGTATAGGACGCCCCCCACTTTTACCGACCTCCAAGTGAGCAAGTTGCTGCTGCTGTGCGCACCTGCCGCCCCCCCGCACGCGTGTGCCCACACCAGTCTCCCCCCAGATTGCGCCCACCCCCCATCACACCCGTGCCCACGCCTGCCTCCCCCGATCGCCTCGTGCTGCCTCCCCCCGATCGCACTGCCGCCCCAGCGCACCTGCAATCGTGCCAGTCTCCCTCCCTCCCCCGAGCACGCCCGTGGTTCTCCTCTCGGCCCCCCATGTATAAGACTCTCCTCCATTTTTAGGTAAATATTTTTAAGAAAAAGTATCATCTTATACACGGAAAAATACGGCAACAGCATCTGTGTGGTGGTTTTGTGGAAAGGTGGGGAGCTGTGCGTGCCAGAGCTCATCCTGAGCCAAGCAACCTACGCACCTGGTCATTTTGAGCTTGTCCTCTGCTAGCATCTTCTCCTGACCTCCAGATTGTAACAAACACTCACAAAATTGGAGAAGACGCAGGCTTTGGTTGCACAGGACTCTGTAGACTCCCAAGATGCACATACTAGTGTTAGCCTTTCGCTCTTGCACTCCCCCTTCCTTTCCTTTCAGCCCTTGAAGCTGAGGACAAAAAGCTCACCAGGGTTAGCTTCCTCCTCCAGTTAACTCCAGCTTCAGGCATCATCTGAACCAGGAACTGTGGTTAATACCAAACTGGGTTTAATTTCAACAAGGAAGCTTTAGAAAGCATTGTTTGAGGCTGGTTTGTTTGAAATTAAGTATAGTCTACTCTAGTCTTACAGAGAGTATAAGGAATGCCAGATCACACAAGCTACAGCGAAGCACGGGGGAAGGCTTCCAACCCCTTTCTCCCAGCTGCACAGAAAGAAGAGGGGCGGACGGAGAGCAACACTCCCACGACCCTCCACTAGCATGATATTCACAGGCAGCCAGAAGCTATTAATTGGGCAGAAAAGAAAGATCACTAAATGTCCACTGCAAATCCCACAAAGTTTACGGCCTGACCACAAGGGCTACTGCCTAAAAATGGGCAGGTGCGGAGCAGTTTTGCCCGTCGTCACAAAAATTGGGCAGCCTTGCCACTCTGCTGGATGAAAAAGCGTTGTGTATTTCAAAAGCATGCCCATTCCTGTCTCTCCCCTCTTTTTATGATGGACACAACCTAACATGGTAACATTACAATAGGACTAATACAGAAGCACTGTTCAACGATAGGTCCAAGGCAAGCAAAATTTCTCCTGCTTCTGTTGCCTTAGATTCCTGCAGGAGAACAAGCTTAATCCTCTATTTTTTTTATTTTCAAAGAATTCCCACTGTAAAAAAAACCAAGTACAACTGTACTGCATTTGACAGGCACTGTTCCATGTTGAGTTCAAGGTCGCTATTTTAACTGTGATTACATCTTTTACCAGGTGTGGGTAGCACTTAGCAAAACTTTAAGGCACGTCCTGTCCACTCAATAATAGAATATCCCAAGACGCAATCATATATTGTATCCACACCGCCTCTCATCCTCATATCCTGAATTTATCTTGATGTAGGCAATCCAAGGTAAATGAATTCACACTTTTATCCCAACATGGTTTTTTTTTAATTTATTTTGGCTGCTTTCTAGATTTATTTTCTGTACCTGAAAATCATCATCAGAGCTTGGACTTCTATGAAGATACTTCAGCCCTAGAACAATAATAACTTTTTGGATATATTCTGCACTCAGGGAAAGATTCTGGAGCTGTTTTTTAAATCATCGTGGGACCTGTTAAAAGGGAAACTCTGCAATATGATCACATCAGTGTGCTTCTCCAAAGAGCTGAAACTAAGCAGTACTTTTTACAGATTATTGATCTGGATTTATAGCCCTCCCATGCCAAAGTTCAGAACTAGATTCAAATTAAATACAAATGAAATTCAACAAGACCGATTAAGCAATTCTACAGCTGTGTCTGGATTGCTTCAGGTGGGGTGGAGGACACAAAATTTCACCCTAATTCTGGATGGCCCTTTTTATTAGTGCTTGACTGTCTCTAATATTAATTCCAGTCACAGCCCAGAACTGCCTTTTGATCCAAATGAGTAATGACCAAACTGATTCCCTGAAGGCTCTCAAAAATCAGAGCTGAACACACCCAGAATTTAACATAAACTAGCATACTGAAACTTCATGCAACACCAGGATTCATCCCTGGAAAATGCAAAGTATGTTACTAACACACATATATATGTTCACTACATTTTACTAAGGAAAACACGGTTCAAATAACACCTCTGTGGAATCTTATTTCACCCCATTACACAGACCATGGGGCACAATAACAACATAGAAACACAGAAACAGAGTGAGTCAGAAGGGGTCTCTCAGGCCACCTAGTCTGACCCCCGGCACCAGCCAGCTCTGCTCACGACGTGCCCACCATGTGCATGTCCAGCCTATCTTTGAACACCCTCACTGATGGGGCCTCAACTACCTCCCGGAGAAGCCCATTCCATACCCTCGGGGTCCTGACTGTCAGGAAGTGCTTCCTGGCATCCAAACTGAACCTTGGCTCCCTGAGCTTTGCTCTGTTGGAGCGCTTCCTGCCTTCCTCGGCAGGGGAGAACAGGTCTCTCCCCACCTCCGTGTGACACCCCCTCACATGCCTGTATGTTGCCAACAGACCCCCTGAGTCTCCTCTTCTCCAGGCTGAAGAGACCCAGTTCCCTCAGTCTCGCCTCATACGGCATCCCCTGCAAACCGGCCACCAACCTTGTGGCCCTGCGCTGCACTGACTCTAACCTGGCTATATCCTGTCTGTAATGAGGGGCCCAAAACTGAGCACAATACTCCAGTTGCGGGCACACCAGAGTCGTATAGAGGGGCAGTAATACTTCTCTTGATCTAGAAGCCACACTTCTGACTATGCAACCAAGGGTGGCGTTCGCCCTCTTGGCCACCGCATCACACGGCTGGCTCACGTTCAGCCTGCAGTCAACCAGCACCCCGAGGTCCCTTTCGCAAGTGCTGCTCTCCAGCCACTTGCCCCCTAACCTGTGCTTATGACACTTATTCCTATGCCCCAAGTGCAAGACCTTGCACTTATCCACCTTGAATGCCATCCTGTTGTCCTCGGCCCACTTCCATAATCTGTCCAGATCCTTCTAGATCTGGAGTACCTGCTCCTCAGTTGTGGCCACTGCCCCAGTTTTAG